GTATGTCGTGTGACCTCAAGTACCCTTAAGGAGAAAAACACTGGCTTTCTTATGGCCCTAATCAATCAGTTTCTCTGCAGACTTTCTGTATCATATTTAAGGAAGGAAGAAAGTACCGACTGCTCTCATTTTGTAGAGACAGTGAGTGGAAAGAGCCTACAGAGACAGCATTGCTGAATATTGAACAGCACTCGGAAGTAATCCTCTGGTCTAATAGACTCAGAGGTGCTTTTTAGACTGCAACAGTGAGGGTCTGATTTCAGTAATTTAGTTTTTTTGGATAGCTGTAAAAACAGTCTGGTTTTGTGCAATGATTTTTTTTGTAAGCTTCAGCAGCAGCTAGACTGTTAAATAGTGAGAGTGCCAAAATTCAGGTGGGTATTTTAACCATTTTGAGCGTTAATACAGTTGTTACCTGTCTCTCTACCTTTCCACCCAAAGATGTCAAAGAGAAACTAACTCTTGAAGTTTCAGCTGTCCCTCATCCCTTGTATTTTTGGCTGTCTTTCATAATGAAATTATGACTTGGTGGAGATGGGGATGTTAGTAACATCTTAAAAAGCAGTACCAGCTTCTGCAAGCCTATATGACCAGTTCTGTGGAAGGTCAAGTCCCGGGCTGGCATGTATTTTCCAGTCCCCTCTGTCAGTACATCTGCAGTTATTTTGTTCTGGCTGAGCATCTGGCCCAGAGTACTTTAATCAGCTGTGACTTTTTATGCTTTACTTGTAGGTGTAGTGTTAATGGATTATTTGAGACAATAGCCACAACAGAGAAATGATTTGGCATTCATTTGAAAATTTACTAATAATATTTGTAGTAGGGCTACTTTTTTAATGTATAAAGGTAGACAAATATATGCAGGCCTGTTGGCTGGAATTTTGCATGTGTGGTGGTTATGACAATGAATTATTCTGTTGAATAATTGGCCTTTTTAAGCATTATTTAGATACTAGATTGAAATGTACATAATTTTTTCCCTTCTCTGGTAACTCTCCAATTTGTCTATATATGACATCTTTAACTGTGCAGCTCTGGTAGGAACATGATCACCTTTTATGCACAAGTACTTGATCTGTGAGGAGTCGCATATGCTTGGCACGTTGAAAGCTGACGGGGTAATGAGTGAATATAGTAAGCAGGCAGGTGAATTGAGATAGGTTAGTCATAAGGAGGTTGTTTTAGTTCAGCTTTAGAAGTGTAGAGCGATACATCTTTTAAAGATGTTGAACAAAGTCACTTGTGAATCCTATGAACATACAGCTAACTTTGGGTGTTGAAGTAGGATGTCCAACTTCTTTCACCTGAAATTCTTATTTTGAAAATATACTGGTGTACATATATTATTAAATTTTACCTTTAGAGTGGATGAGATGTGTGCACTTACCTTATAGTAAATTAATAAGGAATATGCTCTGATTTAGTTTCTGTATTTTTTTCTTTCGTTAGTGGTAATTGCTAGTTGCTAGACAGTTAGCTAACACTTTTGCTATTCTCAGCTGTATTCATGCTTGAGCTGTGTGTGGTTTATCCGTTTACTCAACATGACACTATACTCCTTGGAAGAATTGTGTTGTGTTGTGTTGTTGGGAGGTTTGTGGAAGAGGGGGTTTGAATTTTTTTTTTTGTTTGGGTTTTTTGATTACAAAAAAGCTTTAACAAAGCAGTAAGATACAATACTTTTATTTGCAGTAATGTTTGTATAAGCTGTGTAGGTCAGACTAGTTTTCATGAAGGTTTGTTCCTCTTGAAGAGAATTAGATAATAGCCATTATATACAGCCAAGAATCCTTAAGCTTTTGCTGATGGGTTGGACAGTTGAGTGCTTGGAGATCTCAAGCCAGGCTGAGCTCTGCTTTGTGAGGCAGTTTCTTAACAGGTGGTAATAGCTAATACTCCTCTCAGAAGGTCACTGAGCACAATGGAGGAGATAAAAGCTGGGAGAAAAAGTATTTTCGTTTTATGTTCTCTTGTAAAATTGTTTGTTCAAAGGTGCACAATAAAATGCGGAAAAGCTTGACAACTATGTTTTGTGTTTTATTATGAAATACAGAACATTCTTCTGTATTGTATCTGCTCAGTGTGTTTGTTTTTATTGAAGTCATGTTTTCCTACAGGTATACAAATGGTATGGAAGTTTTCTCGGTTCTGCTAACAGTCTCATCCCTTATGCTGGCAACTGACCACTGAAGAATGAAGTCTAAAGAGAATCTTTACTTTTAGCTGTGCCACATCACTTGAGTGAAATACTTACGTGTATTTCATACACATAAGTATGGTGGGTGCATGGGAAGCACAGTATTATATCAGATGAATTTCATTTCAGGCCTTAGAGACCTTGTTAGTACATCTTTAAACAAATAAATAAATTTCCTGTGTGACTCTTGACATCACTTTTTCTCCCTAAGCACTGATACTTCATTCGCTTTGTCATCATATACATAGAAAGTCCAACTCGCTTGCTTTGCTTTCTGTTATGAACAGTCTACAATAAAAAGAAAGCCTTTGGTGCAGGTGATTTTCACCGAGTGCTGCTCTGCTTTGTGGTAATGATCAAATGCAACAAGCACAAACTCCCTACTGAACTCTATCTGTGCATCAGTACCTTGTATGCTGTCTGTCTGGGTTGTGTGCAACTACTTTATGATCTTTAAGTAAAAAAAGAATAAGTAAAGTGTTTTTAAAAACATTGTCTTTCAGAGAAGGACTTTTAGGAAAATATTTTGTAACTATATTTTTCCAGAACAAGCCAAAAGCAAAAGGGTATCTGGCAGGCAAAGGAGAGAACACATGCCCATGTGCTTATACATACTACACACGTTGCTTGTGCTTCCTGTCCTGTGCTCTTTATTGACCTATGTCCAGGCAATTAATGTGCTGCAGATTTTTAAAGTGGCTTTAGTTCTGTAGCCCCTAGTTACAAAGGCCTTGTTCGAGGCCACCATGCCCGAAATGTTTATTTTTGTGTGCTTGCTTACAGGTACACAGACATACGGTAGATTTTCAGAAGTGGCCAGTTGATTGGTGATAGAAATAGAAGACATTTTTTGACACTCAGACTAATTTTTCAATATTCTTTTAAGTAACTTTTTAGTTTCTGGTGAATTTTCTCTGAATAGAAATGCCAAGTATGACATCTGCAATAGCATAAGCAGTGGTAGTTTATGGATGTAAATATTAAAGCCGTGTCTCTTACTGTTGCTGGTGAGAATTTATGATGCTTAGCTGTAGGTACCTAATTTATTTCCTTTTACTCCTGCCGTAGATTATGAATCCTAAACTCTATGGAAAAGTATTTTAAACAGGGGTATGTTATGGTGCTTATGTGTACTTAAGCTTTAAACTGAAAAATAAAGTTAGCACTTCGAGTATTTGGTGATGAAAATGTAATGGGTAGTCAGCAATGCTGGAAGTGCCTAGTGACATCTTTTAGCCAAAGTTCAGCCTGGAATTCGTAGGAGGCACTTTATGTGATGTTCTTCTTCTTGTGTAGAAATACTATTTGTTAGTCCATGCGCGCCTGTGTTGTGGTTTAGTTAGCCATCACAAATAGTTAATGTGTAGTTTCATTAACCTTACGGATATTTATAATGAATGCTTGTATTACTGACAATGCAGCTGTTGTCTAGCTGTAAATGCAGCTTTATGCTTGAAAAACAAGTCTTATGTTCATATATTTTGCTGCTTTTGAATACTGCACACTTGTCTGGACAAGGGAAAGGCATTTTCAAATGTTCTTGGGTGCATAGTTGAGCAAAGGTCAGACAGAGTGCAGTCAACTGCAGTTAAAACTGTTCCTCCTAACCTGAAAATACCAACTCTTTGGGAGGCCCATGGTAGTTAAATGTACATCTAAATTTTGCTCTCAGTGTCCATAAGCAAAGAAAAGAGCTTTCCTCTACTACTGCTTGAAGAACAGAGACCCCTTCAGGGCCTGAACTGAGGCTGATCATGATTGCTTATTGCTACATGTTAGACGGAAATCTTGATAGAGCTTCTAATACCTAGAGCGTCCAAGCATCTTTGTACTCAAGCATCTTTGTACTCAGTGCATGTAGTTTAAATGCCTCAGTTGTGTTTTTCCTGCTTTTGTTAATACATGTCATTTTTAGTGTGTGAGTGAATATGTAACCCTTTTTCACTCACTTCATTCTTCAAAAAAAAAAAAAAGAAAAGCCCAAAGCAACTGAACACCCCAAAACAAACTCTTCAAGTACTGGACAGCATGCAGAATTCTCAATGAAAGTACTATAATGTCAATGCTAACTCTAAAATTAGCTATTTCTTTGTTATTTGGTGGAGCAAATTGCCAAATGCAGTTTTAAAGTTCTTGAGTACCATCAGGATTCATGTTTGTCAGACTATGTGTAAATACATGGGATTCTTTAGAAGGTCTCATGTCAAGTACAGATTGCCAAGTTGCTTTGATATTGAGCAAAAAATTCGCTGCATCATCATAAATTTTGTTCTCTGCGGCATCTAGTTTTTTAAAATAATTTCTTTGATTGTTGCTGGCATCTACGACAATGTCTGCTTTGCAGGGAAGCTTAGTGGCATGCTTTCACATGACAGTCTTCCAGATTTGAATTATTTTGATTATTGATTGTTTTGAATTATATTCCATGTTCTGTATGTTGGGTGATAGTGGGCAGTAAGTTGAAAACATAGCCATGGGAAGTGCATGTGTATTCTAATTTTCTGTTTCCCAGCTTCCTGATGCTTAGTTTCTTAATTAGGGACTATTCAAGTGTATTTGATTGTTGGCACTGTTCTTTTAAACCTTACATATTTTAATCTAGTTTTCTGTTTGGAAATATTGTCAGTTCTCTGAAAAACTGAATTTGTGGAGGAAAGTGAAATAAAATTCTAAGTATGTTTATACTTGTATCATTTTTGGTTTTTTACAAGCTAGTTATGTAAAGCTGCTAAGCACCTCTGGAAAATAAGCCATTGATTTTAACAAGATGATCTTACTTCCTAAACAGGTGTCTGTCTAGAAAATGGAGAAGACTTTGAACAGAATTCATCCAGTTTCCGATCCAGAAGCAACATATTTTCTACAAGTATCATGGGAAAAAGATTTAGGCACTGGCTTTGGTATAATACTTAGTGATGGTCAATGTGCATGGGCTGGGACAGGTAATAATGGAAAGAAATTTATGTTTTAAGTTATTACTGTTCTCTGTTATTATTTTTAAACGCTTTCAAAACTGTCACCTACAACTTACATCAAAACTTTTTGTAAGCATCACCTTTGGCTGGTGATGGAGGAGGTGAGGTTCATGATCTTCTGGAACGTGTTCTGAGGTCTTTCAGGTCTGGAAAGTTTGCGTGTCATACCTGATGCTAATTCATTTAGCACATGGATATGCAATGTTTTGTTCTTTCTCAAGAACAGAATTTCTTGCAGTGGTATTGGAGTGCCGCTTATGTGTCTTCTCCAGATCCTTGAACAAATGTGTCATGCAAGTTCAATTCGCAAGTTAGAGTTCAGGAAGCATTTAATTGCAAATGTTTTTTAAATGGTTCGATAAAATATTTATAATTAAAGGTAGCTGTATTTGGCACTCAGGTGAATTTTTGAGAAGGAGAAGGGACAAGAAAATATTTTTTTTCCCTGGGCATAAGTTATCAGAAGTGGAAAAAAAAAAATAGCCTGAATAGCCTGTGGTGTTTTTCCCCACTCAGAAACCTGAGTAAGAGGATGGGTCTCTTAAAATGTGCATGCTTCTCTCATCGATGTGTAGTGGAAGAAGGAAAGATTTGCGTGTTCCTTAGAAATGTGTCAAGTGCTTTATCAAAAGCCCTTCTCGCAGTGGCAAAAATATGTCAAACAGCTGAAAGAATGATATATTTTACAACATATTGTAGGCGAAAACATTTTCCTGACTCTTTTTCTGAATTACAAGAATAGATGCCTGTGTAGTTCCTTGCTTCCTTCTCCCTGCCCAGTGGATGTTGTTTCTCCCCAGTTCCTACATAAGCCAAGCTTTCAAATAGGCATTGTGTATATTAAAAAAAAAATAGTGCTTTATATATATATATACACACACATGTATACAAACTATATATGTGTATAAACGCACTATTGATTAGGAATTTCTGCACCAGACAAATGTATTCCAGTGCTGGTTCCCTGTTGTCTGGTATGAAAGTTTTTTTTTTTTTTTCCTTGATCTGACAGTAGGAAACTCAAACTATACATTTCCAAAATAACAAAAAAGATGTTAAAATTGATAAATACTCAACTTCTTGAGTATACTAGTTTTTCTGTTTAAAAGCTTTTCTGGTTGTCGCTGTGTAACTTTTAAAATACTTAGCTTAAAATTTACAAAAAGCTGATTTTTCAAATCTGTTATTTTTCGAAGTAAAACCTGTAACTTACTATAACTGGAAGAGTATAGAAAAAATATGTAAACACAGTTCTCATTTTGTTGACTTCCTGCATCTGGCAGAATGGTTGGGTAATCATTTCCAAACAGAGGACCAGTGAAAGCAAGATGACCTCACTCTGCTAAAAGCAAAGAAAGAAACCCACAACAGTTTAGCACAAGTCCTGGATGCTCATCCAGAGGGGTGAGCCTCTATTTCTTCTGCAAGAATCTGATCTATTTGTAAGAAGTCCCTACTGAATTTGAAGTCCTTTGAACAATTTCATTAGGAGTTGAAGCTCTTGTGCATGAGGCTTTTCTACCACTCAGATCTGTATTTTCATACACTCAACGTTGTTTTTGATCACCTTTTCTAAGTTATTACATCACGTTTGAGACTGTTCAGATTCTAAATTCAAAACCTGGGAGGAGGGAAAGCAGTGGTCAGAAAATTCTTGCCTTGGGAAATCCCTTTTGGATTTCTCATGCTGTGGCTTATTTTGCTTGGCAAGACCTACCAGGAAGTGAATGCAAGTTGCTGATGGATTTGTCTTTTATGATTTTTGCATATTTAATGTGGTGATGAGAAGAGTTGGGAGTCTGATTTAAGGAGGAAAAAAAAAAAAGTCAAATGTTGGGGGCAGGAGAAGCACACAAATGTGCAATATGATCTAATGTATTAGCTTAGTATTGGGTTAAAGAACTACAGAACATGGATTTATATACTTCATGTGTCTCTAGAGATTGATCAATTCTGATAGTTTTATAAGATAAACGAACATGCAGCATGTACAGATACCACATAAGAAAAAAACCACAGTGCTCTATTAGACTATATTAGTATCTGGTTTTTTAGGTTTCTGATTTTTATTAGAAGTTTACCTAATTTTTCTCAGTGTTGAAATCATTGTTCTAGACAAACACTTATTTTTGCAAGTATTTCCAACTTACTTTTTTCTGCCTATCTTTGCCACATATTTCAAGGGATTCCACATTTCTGTCTGTAGTTTTTGGGGGATTTAAGGGAATTGCTGAGGTACTGGTGGCCTTTTCTCTCTCAGTTCTGTCTAGTGTCCTGTACAAGAAATAAGCTGCCTAGTGAGGAAATGATTGGTGGCTGTAGCTTGTAATAAAATAGGAATGTTTTGATGATAGATTTCTTGCCTTCCTTTCCTACTCAGTTCTTGCTGTTTGTAGTGGATTGTTAGCTCTGCAAGACGAGCATTGACCAGCACTGTAGCCCCAATTCTTCACTGGCTTGTAGGTTTAGCTTTTTCCTGACTGTATTGTTCTTTACGTGAACATTAGAAGTGCTACTTTCAGTTTTAAAAAAAAAGAAGATGCAGCTGGCAGTTGTTAAAGTTTTAAGCCTTTCTGATTACATAGGTTTCATGCTTAAAATAAATTTCAGAAATCTTGGAAAATAGTTTTACTACTCCATCTAAGATACTTCTGTGTGTCCAGTTATGTTGGGGCTGAGGGTTGAACACTTGATTTGGCTTGCAATGAAGTAGGGAAGACCTGATAGCATGTGGAAAGGCTAGTGTAAGTTTACAGCCTCCAGCTTTGCAGCGCTGTTTGTAACGGCACCAAGTCCTGTCCTGAAACTCACACAGAATCACAGAATGTTAGGTATTGGAAGGGACCTCTGTGGGTCATCTAGCCCAACCCCCCTGCCGAAGCAGGGTCAC